AGCAGATATTATCATGTCCAATCTTAAAAGAAAAAAGTTGAAGCATGCTATCGACGAAACAACTTCTTATTGTCGATATGTTGATGACACATTTCTAGTGTGCAACAATGAAATTCATGCTTCCAATTTACTCAGATTATTCAATGACGCACATAAAAATATTGAATTTACGATGGAACATGAAATGATGGAAAGTTCCATTTCCTCGACAATGTCATGCAACGCCTAGAAGACGGTAGTCTCCAGAAGTCAATTTACTGAAAGCCTACATGGGAAGGACAATATCTACAGTTTAGTTTTTTTCCAAATAAGATTAAACGAGCACTGGTCAAGACTCTGTACTATACAGCGAGAAGAATATGCTCTGCAGAGAAATTGGAGGAAATATTTAGGCTTCTCCAGAAGATGTTGAAAAGCGACGGTTACCCTCAAAGGTTCATTAACAAGTACGGAAGATCTGAAGGCTCAAATGTCAAACAAAGCCTATCTTCATTTAACTTGATTTTAAAGGTGAAAATATTGCAGCAGTTATCAACAGAAGATTGAGGACGTCACTAGCCAGAGCCTATCCTGCAGCTAAGCTGGTTTCCGTCTATCGAACAGCATGCTCTCTGGTGCAATCAAAAGTCGACAGATAACCTTCTCATGTTAACTCCAACTGTATATACAAATTTACGTTTATCTGCGGCAGCAGTAACATTGGAGGAACAAAAAGAAGGGCGTATCTCTGATTTTCTGAACATGTACAAGAAGGCCTGTGTCTAAAGGGAACAAATGCTTTAAACAGTGCCATCGCTAAGCATCTCCTTGACACGCGTCATGAGGTGGACATCGCAAGATAGGTCAAAATTATAAATAGGCAGAAGAGTTCAATTCTCTATCAAACGCTTAAAACCTGATTTATGCGTTCACAAAGAAGCGGTTATCAGTCTTCCTGTGACCTGCCTGGTGACTGGACGTTTTCATTCTCTCTTTTATGTGATCACGTAAAGCCGAAAGTTTCCATTGTGTATGATTACTATTATTTGGGATAAAGTGTTTAATATTGATATTAGCGTCGTGTGCATATATTAACTGATTGGCGTTTTGTTTAAAAATGAAATCTGTGAAAGCGTGTTAATATTGTTTCTGTAAATATACTTAATAGTGTCTTTGGGCTGTAAGCAGATGATGAGAAGCCAACGAAATAAGCAATGATGGCATCATTTTACTCTGCAAAAACTGTTGTTTTTGTTTTATTCAAATTCATTAAGGGGAATAAATGTATGAAACTGAAGACCTTATTCTACCTCTTATTATTATTATTAGTCTTGATTCATTGAAAACTACCCTTTATCGGTAACATTATCTCAACTCACTTCAACATTATTATTATTATTATTATTGATATTACTCTGTTTGCAATTCTTGTTATATTCTCTAATGACTAATTGTTTATCTAAGTGATGTAATTGAAACGTAATGCAATTTATCTTAATTTTGATCTCTCATACTCTCTCTCCCCTTATCTATTTGAACATGACCTGGAAAAAATTCGCACCTGTCTTTCTGCATGACTAATTCAATGTAGTTTGTTTACTTATCAGTCTTATATCTCCAAATGTAATTTCAAAAGTATATATCCGTATATGTACAGTATTCAGCTGACGAGTTCTGCCAAAATTTGATGAATTCAATAAATCCTGCTTTTACGAGTTGATCACGGATTGATATCAGTTAGAGAACCATTGAAAACCAGGGAGTACTGAACAGCTGCTGTTTCATCCTAGTTTGGGAATCATCGGCAGTACGCACCCACTGGGATTCGAACCCAGGACCTTCCGGTTACAAGGCAAGCTCGAATCCCAGTGGGTGCGTACTGCCGATGATTCCCAAACTAGGATGAAACAGCAGCTGTTCAGTACTCCCTGGTTTTCAATGGTTCTCTAACTGATATCAGTCCGTGATCAACTCGTAAAACATAACTAATCCTTACAAACCAAACTATAGAAAATCCTGCTTTATTAACCTTTGTTGCTTGTTTTAAATTCGTATCGGGAAATAAATGTTTTCAACCTTTCAGAAAATTATACTTCTATATTGTGTGATTCATTAATCGAAGGAAACAAAATAAATTCACCCGCTGACATTTACAGCATATGAACCAAATTACAGACAAATTAATACAGTAAAATAACAATAAATTTGGTATGAATAAAACTAAGTTTGAAAGTAGCCACTAAACTATTAACAAAACACATGCAGTTTAACTAATATTTAACTTGCTACTTATTACATTAAATAAGTAGTATAAAACAAAGTTAAAAAATGTACTCTGCAAACATTTTCTGGACCTGAGAAACTTCATCAATCTTGTATATGACGATATTTTCGCATAACAGTGAGGTTCGTTTCTTACCAGAATGCTTGCAATTAGGGAGAATTTGTAGCAACATGCAACAAGGAGTGAAACTGGAATCAATGAACACACGGACATACAATCTACGGCTCACTTAAACAGAAAACCAGTCTTGTGATATACTTCAGAAACCCATTAAAGATGCTCAACTCAAAATGGTTCTCAGACGTTATCAGTGATTTGATGATTCTCATTTACAGATTTGGAAAAACAACAGCGTGTATCTTTTTAATCATTCCCTTATCAAGAGTTCTATATTATCACACATTAAACATTATATACACATTAAACCATGGGAAATATTAAAAAGACGGTTGCAGAGAAGAAAATTTTCTTTTAGACAAAGTCATCAACTAGACCTATAGATTGATGTATTTGTAGTATAAATGGTTGAGAAAGTTCGAGGATATTTTCCGGACAAGGGTCAAATTAATAAAATTGCAGATAAGGATTAGAAGTGTAGTAATAACAAAAAACAAAACAGTGCAAACAGAGATTAAAAAGAGTAAAATTAACAGAAATAAACAGGAAGTTTGGATGAGAAAGGTAATAGGGTAACCACTATTGACAGGACTGACTCTTTACTATGGCCATGGTAGGGAAAAGGGTTGGACATGTTTCTTTTTAGTACATAGCGTGGGCTTGAACTTTCGGTTGCTAGTCCTCAGCTCTGTCCAGATACCTTGATCGCACTCTCTTTGAGAGGTTTTATCGGATCTTGTATATGACGCTGAAAGATTTTCCGAATAAAACAGGTTGTTCTGAGTTCAACAGATGTCCTGTTACCGAATTTAATACACTCACGTTCTCCCTTTGCTATCTAGAGAGGCTGGATAGTGTTCCTTTGGGCATTTCACAAGCGGACATATGGTACGGTTGATGTGCTCAGCTGCACAAGAGCAAGTAAATTGCTAAATGCACGTTGAAGCATCCCAATGTGACAAACTGACTGTCTTTCATCTGCTGGTTGAATAGTTTCTTGCAAAAGAATGTTACTCTCAGGCTGACGGGGATGTGTGTTTTACTGAGAGATTTAGAAAACCGTTTACGGAGAATGTCTGCCTCACCATCACCATTAAACTGGAGACTAGGCAGCAGCATCCTTTTGTAGGATACTTCGACCTGTTCTGAAGTTTTCTTTCATTTAAGATTCCTGTCTATGAAGCTGGATAGGAAACCATTTTCCAGGAAGATTCCTCGTAGATTTCGCAATTCTCCTGCAATAGGTTCCTCATTTCATATTTTCCTGATCCTCGAGAAGAGAGCACATATGAGATTCCTCTCTCTGCCTAATGAAACGTAACTGTGAAAACTGATAAACTGTCCATTTCATGTGGACTTTTTTATGTGGATCTCCTCGGCTAGTTGTCAGCATTTCTTCGCAGTTTAGCATCGAGGATATGGAAGATTGTGTCAGATTCAACTTCTGGAGTAAAGTAGATGTTTGGATGGGCATTATTGAAGGTTTGGAGTAGGTTTCCGAGATCAAAATTCTCATCACAAATAATAAAAGTCTCATCAATGTATCTCTTTTAGAAATGGAGCCCGTTGATATTTGGTGATGCAAAATTGTTTTCTAGGCTAGACATAAAACAGGCGGCTGAGAGGGATCTTAGAAGATGACCTACTGCTACGCCATCTATTTCACCGTAGATTTCGTTGTTGAATCTGAAGTAGACATTGGGAGTGCATTGGAGTAACAGCTTGTTTAGCTAATGAATTGGTAGGCCAACATTGATGCTATTGGATTGAATAGAGTCACGAAGAAAACATATAGTTTCTGTCAGTGGAACACTGGTGAAGAGAGAGAGAGATGGCATCTAGGGAGACGAGATTTTATCTGCCAATGTGAATCAAATGTGTCCCGGAAGTTGTATCACAACAGCTTTTCCATCACTGGTCCAATAATCTCTGACATCCACTTCGCGGTTAGGTGATATGGAGAGTTTATCGTATCTAATTTCATTAATTTGACCGGGAAAAGTTTTGGAACTTTCTCACCCATTTATACTATAAATACACGAATGTACAGCCTAGTTGATGACTTTGTCGAAAAGAAAATTTTCTTCACTGTGTATTGCCTTCTTAATATATATATATATATATAAGGTTAGCTTTGCTGAAAGTGCTAGCACCGCTCAGATGAATTAATACTTGTTCTGCTGTACTATATGAAGCACCACTTTTAAAATAAAAAACGACGAAATTCGTAAAGAAATATATTTCAGCTGATGCATTATTATAACAGGGAAATTTTGTGCTCGTGAGTAGTTGTCAGTCTACTGGCTTCATTCGTTATTCGTTAATTGTCTAGTAACCACAATTTCCTGAAATTAAAAACCGGGAAAGCATACTTTTAACTTATCGAAAGCGGTTATTGCATGTACATATTAAAGCATTATTCTCATTCCATCCATTGAAGGATAAGGCGAAAGATTGATTCTTAGCCCAACACCGGCTAAACAACGCGTAAGTACACCACTCTGCAGTTCTCTATCCAAAATTTGATATTTATAAAAAATAGCCTGTGTGAAATAGAACTATGGTGTACTTCACATAATGCGATTCAATACAGTTGAAACGTTAAATTAAACAGTATGATTTACCATCTCAATTTTCTTCCATAACATCCATTTCTCCACCAGACTGAAAACTTTTCTTGACTTGTCGGTCTCAAATACTCAACAGCGTTGGCCAGTAAACAGAATTCACACTCTGGTTTCGATGACCACATACTCACAACACCTTTGTCGTGCCAAGCAAAGTATTCGTTGTAGGCAGTATCATTCTTATCAAGATACTTTAAATATTCAGCCAACTCTTCGGGACTATCAAATTCGTCGACGTGAATAAAAGAATGAGGTGGTGCAACTTTTTGATACTCTTCAATTGAAGCTCCCATTACAACAGGCAGAACATTATTCCTGTTTAAATAATAAACATACAAATCCCTTGTTCACATGATTATTTATTATTTTTTATTTTTGATTACAGCTTGATTCCACACCGTATTGTTTGGTACAGGTATGAAATTCTCAGCATGTGATGTCGGTAGCCCAAATTTTGCAGGCCGACAATAGATATCAAATGTGCGTCGGCAGGGAATCGAACCCCGGACCATGTTCATGGTCGGTGAGAGTCCTAACCGCTGTGCCACCGATTCATTTTACTAGAGATACAGCTGATACTTACGTTATCCGTAACCTAGATCCTTATAAACTTACTTGTGGATACGTTTAGAGCGTGTTATATTTAAATTGGTGTTTAATATGCTTACCAAAATAAACCAATGTTAGCTTAGTTCATGTTGGTACTTGGTACACTTCATAGTTTTACAATTTGCTGTCTGAATAGCTAAGAGATGAGGTCTATAATTTAGGCACCATTTAAGATATCTGAGAAAATATTAGGTTCCCTTGAATGAATCTCAATGCTTTCCACCGGCTTTTCCCTAAGATCTAAGCTCAAATTACATTGTGCCGCGATAACAAACCAATTCTCTCTGTAATTTATTGTGAACCTGTACATTTAAAATGAAACCAGAAATTTAGGTGTGTTGTTCCGCCTTCGAAAATTAATTTAATCGCTATAAATTTTATACTTATTCAGTGGTAATCACACAAAATTCATAAATAATATCAACATGCATTGTATACCTATTTGTAGTTTTAGAGAATAATGAGAGAAACATACACACAAATTTTAGTATACTACTAATTACGCGTCGGTGGCACAGCGGTTAGGACGCTCGCCAACCATGCACGTGGTCCGGGGTTCGATCCCGGACTGACGCACTCCTTTACCTCGCTAAGCCAGTAATCCAAAAGCCGGTAAATAGGAAAGGTTGGGTATGAGGCTAACAAACCCATCCTATAAAAATAAAAACTGCTACAGAAACTTCAAACCTCTAGCTTGAAGCCCTATATTCCACTGGGAACGTGAAGTAATAAAATAAACTCAAATACCTGCTCACATCAAGGCGTTGAAGAAGAACTTTTCTGTTATATAATCCTGACATAGGGCATTTTCGAAGCTTAAGTAAAATTTGTAATGGTAGCGCAACAAGTCAAAACAGTAGGAATCTCGGCATACTAATCGCCCACATTTACCATATATATCAACCTAGTAAACAAGTAAATAGAAGAAGCTGTATGCAAACAGTAATAATGAATGTAATACATTGATTTAATGGGAACAAATGAATATACTTGGCCTAATGTTTTCGTGAATAACTCCTCAAGTGGTGGCCAAGCGGTTAGGAAGCTAGCCAACCATGAACATGGTCTGGGGTTCGATCCCCTGCTGATGCACACCTGGTATCAATGGTCAGCCTGTTAACTTTGGGCCAACGGTATCACATGCTGAAAATTCCATACTTGCATCAAAAATACTGTGTGGAATCAAGCCATAATAATAATACTACTTCTGGATAATCACTGGATTCCTTTTAGCTGGTTATATTTTGTTGCAAGTGAAGATTGATGAAAAGCTCCCCCCTCCTGGCAATCATGAATATTTCAAGATTTATTCAGGTTTAGTAATTTGTCTCTGAAATTCACTAGATAAATACATAATTATATATTTTAGATTGGATAGTAGTCAGTAACTAGTGTAATATGCATATGTATGTAGTCCTATCTCTGGTGCAGACTGAGTTCTACCAGTCAAGTTTGCAATGTGGCCACCATGACATCTGGGGGCTCGCCAACACAATGCATTGTCAACTGTTGGTATTAGATGATTGCAATCAACTAGCATAGTGACCAACTTGCAAACGTCACCGACAGAATTCAGTCTGCACCAAAGATACGACTAGACAACACACATTACACTAGTTACTGACTAGTGTCCAATCAGAAATATCCAGTGCAGTCTTACAGGGGGTCAGTTGTGAGCCTGAATAACTCAGTGGTAACGTCTCTGACTGCAGGTGTCACTGAGTGACGTAGGTTCAAATCTCAGAAGGGACATGTGTCCCTTCAAGTTTTCGGATACGCCTAGCTGACTGGTAAGTGTCAACTAGCACGAAACCTAGGTCGAAGGCTTCCTGCCGACTGCCTCCAACCATCGAATACCAACATAATTACATAGATCAACAAAGATTTCGAAAATATCTGCTTTTGTCACTCTCTTACTAAAGATACTCACGTATTGAAAATACCATGGTTCATTTTCATGGAGACATGATTAGTTAAAAGTTATAGATCCAACTTTTACAGTTTTAATCAAATTCCTGTTCCCTGTTTGGTTTTATCTTGTTTTCACTAAATGCTAAAATGGGACACTTTAACTATAAAATCATTCAAACCATAAAATGTTCTTAACAGGTTGATAATGAGTACTTCAGACTTGTTATCACGTGGCGCAACACAGGAATGTAGGAATGTGTGGCTTTCAAAGAGGGATCCATTCACATACACAGAATTGTTAACGGTTCGATGAACTTGATGTACATTCATTTAAAGTATAGGAGTGACATTTTCTGATAAATATATGTAGAAAATTAATCTGAAAATCAGTGGGGAATTATTTATAGTTTGCAATCTTCAGGTTGACATTGTTTTTACATCAAGAGGTTATTTGAAGCCTAGACAACAACATTTACAAGTGTCGTATATTTCTGATGTATCCCTTTAAAGTGAGAAGCGAACAGTTATTGTGTAACTAGTTGTAACAATGTCCTTACAGCTTGAACAGATTCCTGAGAATCATCTATTAGTAAATATAAAGCACTAGGTTATCTCTCAATTTTAAGTGACAACAATACACTCCCATCACAGAGTAAGTTTATTTGATAAAGTTTCACAGTTTGACACAGTATAATTTACTGATGATGTTTCGAGCACTATTTATTGCTCATAATCACATTCAACTTCGTTTAAATGTTTCCATTATTTTTCATAGATCAGTTTCAACTGGTAGTCGTATTTGTCTATATTTCTGGGATTAGAGATGAGTCATTCCTATTATATAGATTCAGTGACAACAATCTGTGTGCTCTCCATCTGGATTCAAAAGTTGTTTTTATTCATTGACACTGGAAATTCGGCAGAAGTACTTAATTATGAAGGTAACTGCTCTGAAGAAATTTCTAAATTCATGTACACTAAGTGCGCTGTAAGTCGGTGGCACAGCGGTAGAGTGCTCGCCGACGATGCACATCTCCCGGAGTTCGACCCCCGGCAGACGCACTCCTTTACCTCGCTAAGCCACTAATAAATCTGTTAAAGAGGAACGGTTGGGCATTATTATTTAAGAATATCTACTTACAGCAATGTGTTTAGCTAACTCATTTGCATACAGATATCGTGGACTGTGTGAGTTACAGTTGCTCACAATCCATGCAACAGCTCGACTCTTTCCTGCAGCCATATTCCTTGGATCATCTTGTCTTCTTTTGAAGCTGTTGCCATTATTAGCATAATTATTCGGTGTATACATGCCATATGGTGTACGAACTGTTGAATCAAACCTATACGTTGCAGTGAAGTTAATCTATAACATGAAATTGTTTTAAGAAAAAAAATGGTGTAATCAAAATAATCAGGAGATCACTTGGCACTTCTGAGGATCTTGCCTCCACTAGTTTTATTTCAGTCAAATTGAAAGCGCGTCAGTGTTTCAGTGGTCTGACAATGGCCTACCAATAAAGTGGTCCGCTGTTCGATTCCAAGCAGACACAAACCTTTACCTCACAAAAACTGGTGGAAAGCCAGATAAAGAGGCTAGCAAACCCATCCCATAAAAAACCGACTGCTACTGAAAGTTCAAAGCTCCAACTTGAAACCACATGCTGCTCTCGGGACGCAAAGGAATGAAATTTCTAAAAAAATGCGAACTAATTTAAGATGTCCACTAGAAATTTCAAAATACTGACTACTGAACAAAGAATATTCCTTTTCGACAACTTCCTCTTCATCAGCTTTTACAATTATATATTTTTTTATTCCTTCACGTTCCCGGTGGAACATACGGCTCCAAGCTAGGGGCTTCAAGTTTCTGTAACAGTGGTGATTAATTTTACAGGATAGGGTTGCCAGCCTCATGCCCAACCTTTCCTCTCTACCAGATTTATTAGTGGCTTAGGAGTTTGTCTGCCGGGGATGGAACCCCGGACCACCTGTGTGGTCGGCGAGCGTCCTAACAGCTATGCCACCGACGCAGATTATACAGTTATATATCCATTCATAATAATGAAAGAATGATTGTTACTGACGACACTAATGTTTTTAAAAGGGAAAATCGAATCACTGACATCAGAATTCCCAAAGTTATTTGCAATTAGATTGTTAATAGATTATAGTCCAAAATATACGTGTGTATGTGGTAATATGTATAATTGTAACACTAAATTGAACACCAATATGACGAAGTAAGTCATTATGAGTGACAACGTACCTACAGTAATAAATTCTCATGAGTCATGTTTATATTAAATTCTAGTCATATTGATTATAAACTTCAGGTGGATGAGTGATCAGGACCGGGGTAGAGAAAAAGGGTTTCTTGGGTTTGAAATTTATGTACGTTATATGTGTGTTAGTGTGTAGGTCAACAACTACGTTTACATAAGAAAACAAAAGGTTTTACAGTTTAATTGGTGGATGGTGACTAGCAGTGGAATCCAGGATGCACATTTCGTCCTATTTAGGACTCGTCAACTAGATGTACCTTCATTCCCCAGTGAGTGATGATGTTCCCACCGAGGCTCGAACCTAGTGCCCATAGTTTCAAACGCCAAAGCGTTATCCACTAGAACACTTGGGTCACAAGAGCCACCTCTTGTGCAACGGGTCATATTAATTATTTAATTGAGTTTTAGATTTCCCCGTCGATTGATTGGATCGAAGTGCTCGGTCTGCGGAATGCAGGTACATCCAGTTGACGAGTCCCAAATAGGACGAAATGCGCATCCTGGATTCCACTGCTAGTCACCATCCACCAATTAAATTCTGATTACATGCCCAGACATCGTCGAGGCATCTGCACAAGAAACCGACATATCAACCTGAGACCGAGCACTTCGGTCCAATCAATCGACGGGAAAATCTCAAATTCAATTAAAAGTTTATAGTTTCTTTGTTCTCTCCTATTTGTCAGAGAGAGAACAAAGAAAACTGTAAAACTCAGGTTTCGAAGTCGTGTGATTACAAGTGATATGATTATGAACAATAAATTTTGTTCGAAACCTCATCGCTGTGTGATACATCTAATAAACAAACTAGTGTGGAATTACTTACTACCACAGTGCCCAAGTTTACACATATAAGAAAATAAAAGGTTAGTTAATGCAAGTTTAATGACAAGGGGTAGGGGAATTTATATGTACAGGATGGAGGGTCATATCAAAGATGCCGATGCAATAAAGTATTTATGAATTCTAAGACTCGGTAGTAGGCTAGGGCAGTAGTAGTGGTTGGACCTGTTTCTAACGGCACACAGAGCACTGGTTGTTTTAGGCGAATTGCGATAGCCGCTGCTGTTTTGAGTATTCAGTACCTGGATACGTTTGGCAACTTACTTAGTACCCGATAGATGATGGAGAAAAACTCTTCAGTGCCAGGTTTGTGGCCATTTTTGAACAAATTTTTTTAATATCGAACTATTGATGGTTTTCACTATACCTTTATTTAGCCACACTAGTAGGTGTCCCCAAGCACGAAAAGTCGAGTTCATAGAGCAACGCCCAATATAACTCGCTACACAAGTTCAGTTAGATTGGCAGATACAAGAAGAGGTAGCTAGTCCAGTTACTTCGTCTTTCCATTGAGGAATCGTGACCGGTCATGTAGAAAAAATCAGTTACCTTGTAAGATTGGTGTTCAATTTAGTGTTACAATTATACATATTACCACATACATATATTTTGGACTATAATCTATTGACAATCTAATTGCAAATAACTTTTGGAATTCTGATGTCATTGATTCGATTTTCCCTTTTAAAAAACATTAGTGTCGTTAGTAACAATCATTCTTTCATTATTATGAATGGACACATAACTGTAGAACCCGACGAGGAGGAAGTTGTCGAAAAGAAATATTCTTCGTTCAGTATTCAATCTTTTGAAAAATAAATTAACTGAAGGTTATTTTATCAAGCAGCTGATAGCATCACCGTGTGAATGGCTACACTCAACTATGTTTTCTCACCTTTACTTGTACACAGAATATCATATTTCAAAAAATGTGTCGAAACAGCTAATGATGGCCATCCTTAACAAGTGTATGTAGTTAATAATTTCATGGAAATTTGCTACAGGATAAGTTCAAGTCATATGCTTAATCTATGAAACTGATCTAATTTAGAAATTTCAAAGTTCCTTCAATACAATAAGCGCTCCTTTGGGCGAACAGCAGATGTCTTTTGTTTGTTCAGTTTTGATACTGACGAGGTGATCATATTCTATTCTAGAATAACAGAAAGATAGCCACTTTTTATATTCAAGCCACTGATAACGGTGATAACAGAACGAGGAGTATCCACTATCACTGAATTTTAACGGTACTACTCTATTTGAGTACTTCGTAAAAATGAAATTCAGCGATGAATAACCGTCAGTACTAATTCGCACAGCATCCGACACTACACGATTTGATAATCTATGGTTTCGGCTTTCAGTCAGAAGTTAATGACAAAAGAAATTCTTCAACTAAACCAGTAAATCACTTCATTTTCAAACAGTCAGGCTTATTTGAAAATAGTGAAACAGATGAATAGACTCACTTTATTATTAAGTTGATAGCTTAGTCGACTATGCACTGGTGCTTCATATTCGAATGCCACCCAAGCTTGATGTTCTGGACGTTCTCCATGTGGATATATACTGTTTGGTATTAAAATAAGATCAGCTTCCGGCCATAGATTTGTATCATTAAGTAGTACACAGTTGTTTACTGAACACTTTGTGACATCTTTGTCCATATCTGCCAACATTTCACCGTATATAAGAATTTTATATACCTGTTATAAGTTATGTAACAATAGCATTTAAGCTTAGAGAGTAGTTTGCTTTTTCCAAGGATAAATATCTCAAGAACTCATTTTAAAAAAAATTACATATTCTCCTGATTGCTTGGCAGGTGAATCAATCAGTTAGAAATACCACCTACAGAGATTTGTTGTGGATTTCAAGTTTACTTATGAAACAACAGACTTATTTTATTATTCACCCCTTAGTTTCCCAGTGGAACGTGGGCATCAGCAGCAGATCTCTTCATTATCTGTCTCTACAACCGTCCACTAGGTGTAATTTGACTCTCACACGACCTCCTCTATGTAACCCACAGACCCATACACCACTAATCGTTTCCCTATTCCACTTCCGCTTGACAGACTGGTGCATATTGTCATTCAACTAATTTCTCAGCATATATCTAATCCATCTTCACTTCCTTGTGCATATTTATTGGTTGAGTGATAGGTTCTAAATCACTTCGCCGTCTCGTAGAGTTCCTTGGTGTTCACATTTTCTGGATATCTTCTGATCTTCAGTATCGAGAAAATGCAGCTTTTGATGGAAGTTTACCGCTGGCTGTTGGAAATGCTTTTCGTGACGCACTTATACTCTGAACTATATGAAAGGTAAAGAACTCAGTGTTGTTTCTTACTTTCAGTGAAACAGATTTCCATACAGATCCTGTCACTACCACCCTCATCTATGCCAACTATATTTGGAACAACTTCTTTTAGATTTCTCCCGTTGATGATGATGGGGTGTTGTTGTTGTTGCTAATCTTCCAGTACATGCAATATTATTCACGAACAGTTTGCGAAATCCAGATCACCTAGAGTCTTCTTGTCTGTCCAATGTATTACTGTCTTCTCTCTCTCTATGATCAGTTATGTGACTCAGTCTACAACAGTTAGGATTATCATCGGTGATGGTAGGATTTGAGCTGGATAGCACCTGTAAATACTATTAAGTTTATTGCGTAGATAATGCACTTCTATAACATTCTCCCTATTTTATGGTACCTTTTTTTGTTGAATCAAATTGGCAATTTACACGCTGATTTTCCACTTTGCAATTTACACAGTTCGACAGAGTTCACAATATAAGACCTGCAAAGAAACAAACAAGCACAACCTGACTGATAGATTTCAGTCTGCACCAAAGAGAGGACTAGACGCATCACACTAGTTACTGCCTAGTGTTAAATCAGAAATATCCACTACAGTCCTACAGGAGGTCAATCGCGAGCCTGAATAGCTCAGTGGTAACGTCTCTGACTGCAGTACTGGGTGACGCGGGTTCGAATCTCAGAAGGGACATCAGTTCCTTCAAGCTTGCAGATACGCCTTGCTGATGAGTGCCAACTAGCACGAAACCTAGGTCGAAGGCTTCCTGCCGATTGCCTCCAACCATATAATATCATCACGAACTGACTTATAGTTTCTCATTATTGAACACCTGTGATTCAGTTTTTGCAACAAATTGATTATTACTTTTTTCCAAGGACGCCTTACTCATTATATCTACATATATATATATGTCTTTATCACTTGCTGAAATTGATATATCTCAGGGAGCAGTTCTGCCTCAATTTACCGATCTATTTTTTGCACAAGTATGTTGACAATGTAGGCGTTCTGGTCACCTAACCATTAAGCTGACCTATTGGAATGAAGTTTTATACCATGAGTACCAAAATAAGTACTTTTTTCTTCAGAATGAAAAAAAGTAATGAAACAAGTTAGTAGTTTCATGAATCTTCAATGGATGTTTGTTGACAGGTGTCTTCATTACTTAAGAGCATTCAGTGTGACAATTGGAAACACAGTTTTCTGAAATTAAAACGGCATAATCGATCCGACATTCAATTTATTCTCAAAACTATTATAGATTTGTGCTAACCGCAAATGTACCGAAATCTTGCGTACCGAGCTTAAAAATAAATATTTGAAATCTTAAAACTAGTTAATATAAATATGCACTATACGTTAGTTAATCAGATTAACAAGAGCGTGTACAATACAGTAAGATTTTTTATTTTTATTTTATTCCTTCACGTTCCCCAGTGGAACATAGGGCTTCAAGCTAGAGGTTTGAAGTTTCCGTAGCAGTGGTGTTCATTTTTGCGGGTTGGGGTTGTTGGCCTCATGCCCAGCCTTCTCTCTTTATCAGTCGCATCAGTGACTTAGCGAGTTGAAGGGGTTTTCAGCCGGAGGTCGATCCCCGAACTACCTGCGTGGTTGGCGGACATTCTACAGCTATGCTACCGACGCATATACGGTAAGATGATAATTATAATAACAAGTGTGACAAAAGGAAATGATAATGACTGCTACAGTAATAAAGTCTGTATTGTAATTAATTGGCAAGTTGAGTAGTTCCGATAAGAAATGAACTAACGAGAAGACACCACCAGCGAAACGAATTCATTTCGACTAGATTCGTCTTAGAGGACTAATGTTCCTGTTTCAGACCAATTAAAGCGATTCTCCTCTAGCACTGTCTCCTAGCTATGGTTAATTACTGAATAAGCCAGTCATTCTGCATGATCTGGTCGTTAGGATTTCTGCCTTTCACTCAAACGGCCAGTGTTAGACTTTTAGCGTGGGACGGCTTTAGTGAGTCGAGGGTTCAGTGAAAGAATCTTCACCAGCCATGCACGTGCTGTGGGTTCGATACCCCGCAGACATATTGCTAAATCTTGCCTAGTTAATCCTGTTTAAAGAGAGGAGGTTGATCATAAAACTAAGAACGACACCTGGTAAAAAACAGTCCAGATGCTGAGACGTCGACAGCGTGTCAGAAAGCCTGGTGACTACATTACTGCGTTGACTGATAAAATTTGGTGAGCAAGGACTGAACGCATGACATTGATCATTCTCTAGTAAGCAGTCAGTTTAGAGGTTAGCTATGCTGAGATGTAAGTTAAAATTTCGTCAGTGAAGTCACCATTATGCACTTCCACTATTAAAGTAAGTCAACAGACGTTTTACAGTTAATCCCAAAAGGTGTAGGTTGACTAAAATCTGTCATGAGTTTTTATTTTCAACTGCTTGTAGTAAAGAATAGAAAACGTGTTTGCTATAAATAGTTGTCAATCCAGGGATTTCGAATACCTTATCTTTTTTAAATAGAGGATGATATGGTACTTTGAATCCGTCCTTTTAGTGAAGCTTTATGTTTGTCAACTACCTAATTAATTCTGCTCTGTTCTACTAGAAATGCCACAGAACGCCGGAGTGTTGATGAAACCTAGCGAAGTTTGCCAATCCCTTTTTACCAGATCAACATCTGGAAAATAAACTTTAAATCGCCTACCGTGGTGACCATACTGAGGATTTGACGCGTATAATTCAGTCCACACCAGACAAAGGACCAGACACATGACACTAGTTACTTACTAACTTATCGTTCAATCAAAGTATCGCACACAGTTCTACAGGAGGTAAATCGCGAACACAAATAGCTCAGCGGTAACGTCTCTAACTGCATTACGGGGTGACACGGGTTTGAATCTCACAGTGGACATGAATTCTCTCAAGACTGTAGATACGCCCTGCTGACTGGTAAATGACATCAAGCACGAAATTTAGGTCACTTTGCACTTCCCGTCGACTGCCTCCAACCATCTGATGATAACAAACTTTAAATTACATAAAAAAAATTACTGGATATTTTATACAGTGTTTGCAAAACTTCATTAAAAAAGTAAGGTGCATGTGCTATAAAAACTGAAATCTGTTTTCAACTAACTTGGGAGTTTTTTATCATTAGAATTCCATCGTTAACATTCCTTAAAAGTTGTTTTATCAGTAAATGAACATTAGGAAAGAGGCTTTATTTCTCACTTTTTGAAAGTCTTGAAATCTGAATAGTAGAGGTGTTGGTTATTCAGATTCCGACCTGATAAATTTTGATATTTTGATAAGAAATCACCATTTTCATCCGGTGTAATGTTTCGCATACACCACATAGTTACAATGATAGTTGATACTGCTATGAAAATTATTATTTTGAAGATTTCCATTTAAAGGATTTCAAGAAATTGAAAAATACAGGAGATACGCTAGATCAAGGCATAGTACAGATTCATACGCATAAGCCTATCATTTAGTGAATTTCACTAAATCTACAGTGCTTCAAATGCGTGCCTTATGTAGTTTGACATAGCGAAGAATACATATTTACATAACCAATCAACAATTACACAGGTTTAAAGTAACCTTGACAACTAATACCATGAATTATTCAAAGCAGCTGAAATAAAATTGGTGTGTTGAATCTTCAAATGTACATTACAGGTTTTTGAAAAAAATTTCTACATTCTACATTAGTTAGTAACTGATAAAAAGAGGGCAGAATTGTAAACTGAGAAGAGACCGAAAACTTGTACTCACCATTTATTAAATAGCTAAAAATTTCTGTGAAAGCAGACAATAATTATTAATGTTAATTTTCATAATAATAATAATAATGAATCATGTTCAAGCATCATTTAGGTCGAAATAAGTAAAGAAGATTAACAGTGTGGGTTCTGTCGCCAGTACCATCATTATCGACCCGTTGACCCACATGTGAAAATTTCACTAAATATTCAGAGAAAAAGAATAGAATTTATTCCAGACTTGATCAATGAGCCCTATATTTTGTCGTTGTATTGTGTGTATTAGAATTACAGTAACATAGTTTTTCGTATACAGTTTGTTAGAAAAGAATGTTCAGTAGCGGAAACATTTAAATTAAAACATGTTTGATTTGTTGGTATTAGATTGTTGGAGGCAATCGGTAGGAAGCCTTCGACCTAGGTTTCGTGCTAGTTGGCACTTACCAGTCAGCTAGGCGTATCCCCAACCTTGAAGGGACACATGTCCCTTCTGAGATTTGAACCCACGTCACTCAGTGACACCTGCAGTCAGAGACGTTACCACTGAGTTATTCAGGCTCGTGACTGACCCCTGTAAGACTGTACTGGATATTTCTG